AGCTCAGTAAATGGTGACAACATCCTGTTTATATTAGCAGCTAAGATGGTTGTACAGCAGTTGTGTGTGTGTGTGTGTGGGGGGGGGGGGCAGCTCCTGATGCACAGCTCTGCTAAAGTCCCGCACATGTCCCAGGCTCCAGTAGAGCCTCCGTTATCCATCTTGAGCTAAAAGCCTTCGGTCCAGCATGCACCGAAGAGCCAAGCTCTTCTCAGAAGTAGCTTTTGGATACTCTGGAGTTGTGTTGAGGATTGTGTGTTCAGATCTCTAAACTTGTTGGAGTGCCCTCTCTGCATAATATTGGCAACTTTCTGCAATCTTATCATTTAGTTTGCGCTCCAAAAGAATCCTGAAGCAGTAAACGCTGCTTTGTTTGGGCAAAGCCTCATGGGCAGGGACAGTTCCTTCGCTGTCGATGAGGTCGTTGCTCACTGGCTTTGTATTCACACACCTCTAAATGCTCCAGACTGACTGAAATTCGGTCTGTAATGACTTTTGCGTATACGTTGAAGATCATAGTAAATATTATTAATAAACTGTCTTTTAATGGAGTGCGGTTTTATAATTAGTTTTAGCTTTGCTTTAATTAAATAACTAATATACCTCCTGGAAACGCCGCGCCATGCCCTGTTCTTCACTGGAACTCACTTTTATGTCATTTTAAGGTTTCATAAAAAACCTTTACCAGTGTCTAAGTCTTCCCGTCCAAAGAGGAAATGCCTGCTTTTTTACCTGCTGGTCCAGTTTTGGTGGTTTAACTCAAAACCTGAGTCCACAGTTACAAAGAAAAACCAAAGTGTCCCCACCAAAGACGGGACAGACAGCAGCGCGGTGACAGCGCAGGAAGATGGTAGCCCTAGGGTATGACTCACTTGGAAGCTGCGTATACCAACGACTGAGCTTTCCTACTGGTGAGATGAAAAACATCTGTCATTGCCTGCATAGTTACTGTCCTCTGTTGTTGTTGTTGTTGAAGTGTCTACGTAGCTGGTTTCCCCGAGTACACCAAATCTATGATAGAACATTTAATAACCATGAAGATCAACCACTGGGATGGGTCAGTACCAACAGTAGCACGCATGTCTGAGTAGCTTCAAATTCATCAAAGTTATGGAAGATTTGAGGAAATCTGCTATTTTGTACATTGCAGTGTGATCCGAGAGCTTGCCTCTGAAGCGCTCCACAACCTGACGCCTCAAGCGCCTGATTATATGGCAACACAAGGTAACTATGTCATCCTGCCTGTTCATCTTCTAGTTTGGAACTTCCTCTTCAAATCCTGGTATCTCTGCTTATCCGGGTCGCAGGGGCTGCAGCCCTAGGGAGCCCAAACTGTCCTCTCTGTTTGTGGGACCCCTGTTGGAGTCACCCCAGAGACATCGTCCCTCCAGCATGTCCTGGGGGAGCCGTGGGCTCCTGACGCCAGGTCATACCTGAAAGCCAAGACCTCAGCTGGTCTTCAGTCATCCTGCTCTGAGCCCCTCTCAAACGTTTGAGCGTCTCTCCACATTTCTAAGCAGAAGAACCTCATTTTGGCCGTTTGCATTCTCAGTCTCTTTTCTTTGGTCATTCCACAAAGCTCATGACCACCAGTGAGGGCTGCAACACGGATCGACTGGTAAATCCAGAGCTTCCCTTTCTGGCTTAGCTCCCTGTCCAACAGACCAGAGTAGCATTCATGTGACATCAGACGCTATCCTGATCCACGTGTCTATTTGCCTCTGCCTCCTTCCTCTACCCATGTACAAGACCCAAACACTGAAACCCCTCCCCCAACGTAGGACCTCTCCCCTATGAGGAGATAGCATCCCCTCTTATTCCGGTCAGTAACCATGGCCTTAGGTTTGGAGGTGCTGATCCTCATCCCAGCCTTTCCCGCAAGAACCGAGCCACGGTCACAGGAGCCCATTATCTGCAAAACACATATGAGACCCACCAAACTCAACACTCCTCACCCCACAGCTGCACCTAAAACTGTTCCTAAGGTTATGAGCAGAACCAGTCACCAGGAGCAGCCCACTGGGAACAGTTCGGACTTACTGCTGGCAACGAGGACCGGACTCATGGTCCCCCCTCAACTAAAGGCCATGATCCCTCCCGTAGATGCTGTACAACTAGTGATACACAGTCAGTGAGGAGAAACAGACTCTTTTGTTCTTGTTTCAGTTTTGCCTCAGCTGTTGACCATGGCGACTGGCCCGGACCTTCATGGTCGTCATGGGGCCATCATGGCGTGTGGAGAAGTCACGCACGCTCTGTATGAAGTGGGCCTTCAGACCAACAGGTAGACTCGAAATACACAAACAAGAATTAGGCTTCATTCAGATCAGAAGCTAGTTCTGTCTCTGGTCAGAAAGCCATTTTTTTACGTTTGACACCGATTTATAAACTGTTCATGTGTAGAAAAGGCACCAAAGCTCAAGGACTGAACTGGTGTTTAGACTTGTCCGCTAGCTTAATGTGCTAGAAAGCCTGATTGTAACGGGTCAGTTTTGTTTAACAGGACTGTGGTGGACGTCATTTCTCCGGAGTGTGTGGACGCGTTGAAGAGCATTCACCATGTGGTAGGTGAACCAAATGCGTCCAACAGAAGTCATGAGGCCAAACGGCTCCTGTTACTGATAGTTCTCTGCCCGTCTTTCAGCTGCATGAAAGAAAACAATACAGGTAAGCAGGAGGAACCTTCTCAATGCACAACGACTAACCGTTTTCTGTCACAGTTACGTCAAGTTTTTCTAATGTGTAGGGGCTTTGGTGGAGCACTAATGAGACCCGCAAGTGAGTAGAAGAACTACAAGGAAAAGTGACTAAAAGGAAGATTTATCATCATAATAAGGAAAAAGAGTTTATTTATTTATTTTTTCCAGTTTGCAGTCTGATAGGAAAGCTGTCCCTGTCCAAAATGCCGTTTAAAAATGACCCCATCATCAGTAAGTACTCACTTGTTGTTGTGTTATCCACCTGTGAGCTGCAAGGATTGATGTGTTTCAGGTGCCTGGCAGTGGCTCATCGATGACACCATACACAATCTGCATCTTTTTTCAAGTGGTGTGAAGGGGGGCATCATCGTAAGCCCGTTTTTAACGAGTTCACACCTTAAAACAAACATGAGGGTGAGATCTCAGATAAACCTACTTTGGTTCTGCAGGCTGCAGTGGTGTCGGCTCTGTCTGCATTGTGTGAGGAGTACTACCAGGACCAGACGGGCCAGGCGGACCCTCAGATGCAGGGCAGGTTTCTCAGTCCGTTATCTGTAGGCCTCAGAAAGACCTTAGAGGACTTGTTTGATGATCAGAGTTTGCTTTTGTGCTACTCCTCAGATGCTCTGGTGTCCCAGTACATTGGAGGGCTAAAGAGTCCGCAGACACTAACTCGTAGCGGGTCTGCTCTCGCTCTCAGCTGTCTGCCAACATTCATGATCCGCGGCAAATTCAAACAGGTCGGTTGTTTGTTTTCAAACACATTTATGATCATGAGGTGGAAAATAAGAGTAGGTATGTGATTATTCCTGATTTGGACTTAAATAATCCTTAACCGATGTGAAGTGTTGTTTTTGGCGATAACACGGTGTGGGGGAAACTGGAACTCTGAAGTGAGGAAGTGCAGCACCCGGACCGTTGTTGGGAGCTCATAACAGAAACACACCATCTACTTGTGTGCATGGAGTCAACAGAAGAAATAACACACGTCTAAACACAGCCAGACCGGTGTTGTGTTAAAAAGCGTTTTTCCCCAGAGTGTCTCCCACTCTCCTCTCCGCTGCTTTAGCTCAGCAGATCGAGGGATATTAACGCTCACACACACATTAGTGTGTCTGTGATCGTAGCAACGATTGGTCTCTGTGTTTTCTCTGTGAGAGAGTAGGTGTGATGTTTATCAGGCCGGACTTTCATCGAATACCGACCATCTACACAACGCCGTCCATCTGTACCATCTAGATGAGCTCATATTTGAAGCACGACACTGCTACAGTAAATATCATCCATCAGATTATCCTTAAATTAAATAAACAGCTGAAGGCTTTTTCCTTCAGACTAAAACTATTTCCCATGCATTTATTTCTAGTATATTTATTTTTTCTCTGGTATTTTTGTACTCTTACAGAATCGAGGCCGTTCTTTACATTGTTCATGTAAGCTGAAGTCCACCAGAATTTGTAATGAAAGCTGTGACTTTTGCACGGCCAGGTTTCCTTTTTAATTGAAAGAAACTGTTACTTTTATTAATGGAAAGTTGTTAAAAGTAAACTAAAATACTTAGCTTTAAAAGTACACCGTGGTCATGCAGAGGAGAGGCGGTGGGGCGAGGAGGAGCCTGAGGAGCCCTACTTTGATTTATTAGAAATCTCCTGTTTTATTTTGGTGATGTTTGCTGTTTGTTTTTGTTTGTGTCAGATCTTTGACGGCCTTCGGCAGATGTGTTCTGTCAGCCAGATGGAGGGGAATTTCACCGAGGCCAGGAGAGATGCGGTCAGAGCGATCACTCTGTGGGTGTCCTGTCATTTTTATTTGATTCATTATTGTTTGGAAGCCGCGCTGCAGTTGGTAGCATCGTTGTTTTTTTTTACAAGATAGTCACTGAACCTGCACGCTGCTCCAGAAACACACGTTAGACTGATTGGAGACTAAATCAGTGGTCCTCAATGGGCGGGCTGGGTCCGAGTGTCCCCGCCTCTCCCCGACTGCTGGATAGACGCCAGCGCCCCGTGAGCCTAGTGAAGAATACGCCGTAGGAGAGTCTGTTGTGTGTTTGCTGCTAGCTTTAGCACACATCAGTGTCATCAGAAAGGCCAAAGTAAACGGCACACTGACTGCACCTGAAGGGCCTGAACGACACGTCCTTTTAATCTGAAGTATTATACATTTCCTCAAAGTTTAGTTGAGTCTTCGTCGCCTTGTCTGTGCTCCTTATGTTGTGTTACTTTGTTAACGTGTTGACTGTCTTGTCAGCGTGTGTGTGAAGGCAGGTGTCTGTGCACACGGCCGCCCGGACTCCACCCTGTGCTCCAACAACATCGCTGATGTTTACGGCGTCCTGCTCAGCTGTCTGAATGACTACACCACAGACAGCCGTGGAGACGTTGGAGCCTGGTGAGTGCTTTACTACCACTTGTCAACACGTATTTATCAACAGCACACATGCCGTTTTCATTTGCCTCAGGACTCCGGAATGCTCTCCTGTTTCTCTTCGACCCTTTACACAGAACATCTTGCTTCTGTCACATGTAGCCTCGGGCCACGCTTACGGACGCATCAGGAATGTCGCCTAGCTTGTCCCTTGGCCTCCAAACAAGGGATGGGCTGCTTGCTTCTTTCTTTCTTTCTTGTAATCCTTTTCTCTCCTTTTCCCCGACTCTTCACGTCCCTTCCTCTTCTTGCTGTTGTGGCGTTTCAGGCCCAACGCAAGAGAGCAGAGACGTTTATCAGAGCAAAGGCAGGATCAGAGTTGTTTTTACTTTTGTAAAAGGTGTTCAGAACAGAGCTGCTGTGAACTATTCCAAAAGCAAAACGTAAGTAATAACAGTAAGCCAGAGAACATGCGTCCAAGTAAGGTTTGGGATCAAAGATCCCGGACGAGCCCCTATTTGTTACGATCCAGGCTGTCTAGGGAGCCTGGGGTAACAATGAGGACGCACGTTCTCGTGTTAAAAGTAACAAAACAACATTTATTTACATAAATATAAACTCAAAACACAGATTAACAAGACACATCAGCAGCAACGCAAAACAAGTAACAACTAAACTCTCAAATGAACCAGATTAATACAAAAACCACGAAAGACCATCACATTATTTTTCCTAATTTCCGAGTGATGTCTTAATTAAAACAAGCGAAGGGGTAAAGTGTCCTTTACCCCTAAAAAGGGCGAACGGTTAAACACAGAGAGTTTTAAGCTCCCACCAAAGTTGTTACATAAAACTTAACAAAACAAAACCAAAAGCTGCTGAGGAGACAACGGACCAGAGAGAACTTCCCTGGCCTGCTGCTTCCTGAACTGAGGGCTGGCTGACTTTTATGCTGCTGGTCTTCAGGATCAGCTGAGAGAATCTAACCGGGAGGCAATCTAGTGAGATTGGAGCCAGGTGCTGCATCTCCTCTCTCACACACCCAAATGGCTCTGAGCCATAACAATGGTTTGTGTTAACATCCGTGCGCTTACAGTCCACATTCATGTGCGAAAATGACCTCGTGTTCGCTGAGTCACTCACTCCGTCCCGATGTCGGATTCCCATGAAGCTTCTCCGTTAGATTTAAACGACTCCATCTGATTAATAAACGTGGAGCAACAACAGTACTTTTCCATTCGAAGTCTCCTGTCGGATTACCGAGGGCTGTGTGACTGTGATTTCCATTTGGCAGAAATAGTTGCCAAAAAGACTTCCGCCAGCTACCTGTGAGCGTGTGTTTTAGGGTGTGAGCCTGGGATGATCATACATCAGCATTTCAGATAAACAGATTTTCCCTGCAGGCAAAACACCTTGGTGACTATCGAACTGCTACTAACGCTCTCCATGTGGTGTCTTCAGTCCATTCGATAGCCTTATGTTGACTCTCCCTCCTCCCTCTTGACTTGGCGACAGGGTGAGAGAAGCAGCAGTGACCGCTCTGATGGAACTAACGATGCTAGTGGCCAGAGATGCTCCTGAGATCCTCTCACCAGACCTGTGAGTAGGAATCAGAAGGTGTTCAGCTGCCTTTTCACCCTTAGACAGCTTGTTTGACTTCACCATGTAGCTTGTTCTTGTTTGTAATCTGAATCTTTGCACATGGAAGCACCTAAACCAGTTCAGAAACAAGTGTGCTCTTCCGTCTTGTGTGATGACACCAAGGTTAGATTTCTGATGACTTTGAATGAAACCACAGCCTCACTGGTCTTTACTGTGTAAACGCGTTGCACATGCAGGGTGAAGCCTATGATGTGCTGCCTGGCCCAGCAGATGGCGGAGAAGATTGACCGTTACAGAGCGCACGCTGGCAACGCCTTCCTGCACCTCCTCCACAGCACGAAGCCCGCAGTACCTCACATCCCCCACAGGGAGGAGCTGTTGATCATCTTACCTGTGTGAGTTGACTTGCCTGATATTTCCCAGCATTTATTTGTTTTGACAAACACACACGTCTTGTGTCTGAGGCCTTCGTCTTGGCAAACCTTTTAACTTAATGTGTTGTTTTTCAGCGAGACCTTAACCAGTCTAAACTGGAACGCCCCTTCTCAAGCTTTCAAGTACATCGCCCAGCTGCTTGGACTGCCTGAGTATCGGTACCACACCCTCCTGGGGCTCTCCGTGTCCGTGGGAGGCCTCACAGAGTCCACAGTAGGTGGAGCAGCAGAATATTGTCGAATCACAGAAGAACGATGAACAGATGTGCTCAAAAGAGTTTGGTGCCATCTCAAAGAGACTCCAGAGTCTTGTGCCATTCGTGCCATGGAGCAGTAGAGGTTTATGTCGTCTCTTGCTGCACATTTTAAGTTATTTTTACGTTTGGTTTTTAGGTCAAACTTCACTTTCACCTTAACGACTGGTTTAGCTGATGTTAAGTGTCCACGCACATGCAGTCTGGTTTCACAAGGACCTTTTTATTTTTGTGTAATCTGCAGCCAGTTGTGATTCGGCATAATTGGATCTTGTTGTGATTCAGGAGTCCAGACCGAGAGGGGGAGCCGTGTGTCCAGCATGGAAACGCTCCCCGAACACCTGCTGTTATGATCTCGCTGTCGCTCTTCTCCTCCCTTTTAATGTCGCCATACAAGAACTTGTCATGAGTTGAATCTGCAGACGTTTCTTACACAACACCTCTCTGATCAAACCCTCCCCCTCTGTTACTTAACCTGGTAAAACCAAAAAAGGACCTGCCCACAAGGATTTGAGCTTATTTTTAACTTTTACTCAATTCAGTTCAATTCAAAAATACTTTATTAATCCCAGAGGGAAATTGACTCCTTATAGGTGTCATAAAGAAAACCGGTTCAATCCTGTAATAACAGCAGCGAAGCCAGCTGTGGCTGAAAGCGCGTTCCCTTAGAGGAACACTCTGGGTCTCGTCTTGTTTTCCTCTCCTCCTCTTCTAGTGTTCCTCTGCTATTCATCCTCCTCAGAGACCAGAGGTGCTGAGATATGTGTACAAGGTTGCATTTTGGAAAGCAAGCCAGGTTTGAGATTCTCACACTGCAGGCATGTATTCACAGCAGCCAAAGAGAAATGGAGTATGCACCAAGCTTCAGGAAAGGCTTCAGCGTCGATGGATCACGTAGCCTAGCAGGAGTTAACAGACAGAAACGGCAGCATCCCATAAAAGTGCAGATGTACTTGGTTGAGCTAAACCGTTGAAGGGCAAATTTTATAGCTGAAGAGGAAACTGAACTCAAGTTTTCCTTCTAGAAAACTGGACGAATAACTGCAGTGCAGGTATTAGTCAGTACCGCTCACAGGAATGAGCACATCACTTCCTTTTGCTCTTCTGCTTTCCGTCAGGGTCACTTCTCCTCCCAGGCCCTGTTTGACTTCCTGAGAGGGATTCAGAGGGATGAAGCAGCTCTGGAGCAGTTCGGAGAGACGCTGCTGAGGATTTTCAGGGACAGTCTCCACAGTAGCCGGTATGCCATGAAGCTACAAGTGTCATTTGTATAGAACTATCTTCCCAGTTGTGTGTATAATGTTGTATCGTTGTTGCTCTTCTTGTTATTTTAGAGTATCGACTCCCTTACTGAAGACGCTCAGTCAAATGCTCGCTAACAGTTGCTTTGAAATCTTTGCCACACAAGAGGAGTGAGTGATGTCATCATCTTTTGAACAAAAATGTAGATATCTGTCCTGACTGAAGCTCTGCTGTCTGGTTGTCTTTCTAAGTCATCATTTCGGTCTGGACCTGTTGAACCTTTGCAAAGAGTGCAGGAAGTCCAAAGATGTGGTCAAGCTGCGCGCGTGCATAGACGCGTACGTTTCCACCTTGTTGACGGATACGTGCTTTATTGAAACGACCGCTACAGATTTGCTTTTACGGTTTTACTTTTGCTTTCCAGGTTCTGCGGGTTGATCCAGTTCCAGGGCGAAGTGAGGAAGAAGGTTTGGTCCCAGCTGCTGATGCTGCTCTGCCACCAGTTCCCTGTGGTGAGCTCACTGGACAGAAGTGCACTTTTACTCCAGACGCTGCTTTCATATTAAATCCACATCGTCGCCCAGCTCAGTTTACCTGTAATGTGAATATCCAGTAGTTCTGAGTATTTGTTACCGTCCTGGGCCAATAGTGAAACCCCCTTTTGCTTCATCAACTTGAAGTCTAAAAGCCTCCAGGATATCCACCATCTGTAGAGAAGCTTGAGTGAGGCTGAAGTCATGAAGCTAAAAAGGAAAATCCACGTTTATGACAGAAAAAAATGAATTTTTTCCCTAAACTTGCAGATAAGAAAAGCCACATCCAGTGAGGTGTATGAGATGCTTCTGACCTACGACGATGCCGTTTGTCCGGAGGTGTTGGATGATGTCATGACCTTACTAAGCGACACTAACTGGTTAGTTGCTATTTCCACGTTAGGTCTGAGTGCACCTTTTAAAAGACGTCCTGTGTTTTTGTGTAATTATGCTTTATGTCATTTTTCAGGGAGAGCGACCTCGCCACAGTACGCGCTCACAGGAATCAGCTTTGTGATTGGCTAGGAGTTCCCAGACCACGGCCTGTTGCCAAGGGAACCAGTTAACATTGTTAAGGTTAACTGCTTCTGAAGATTCTGTAGGCCCTGACAAAGTAAACAGTTGTGTTTTGTGTCGCTGCTGAATGAACCCCTAGGAACTTGTTTTTGCTCGCAGGCCCGGCTCCATGCTTCCCACTGGCTGAACCTGCAGGAACTGACGTGATTCATTCAGCTGAAATGATATCTGAACTTCATGTGGTACATATTTCTTGCAGCTGCCAGGAAAGCAACATAATTGCAATCTGTTGCTTTATAAACAACAAACACAATAAATAAGCGAAATAAAGACATCAGTTAACAGGCTTGTCATTATTGTTTTGTTTATTCGGCAGCTGCTAAACTCAAAGCTACCTAAAACACATCTCGTGCTTCACTCTTTTGTTCCAGAGCCTATTCAGGTCCCAGTCTGATGACACCTGCTTACTGTTTACTTGTAATCCTTACCTGGAAGCATGCACACAACCTGGACTTTGCAGACACCCCAGGGGGATCGTTGCCATTTAGATGTTTTGGCACACATGACAGAATGCCACTGAGGTCCTGCTCCCCCCTGAGGAGGCAGACCTAGTTTTTCTGGATGGTTCATAGAGAACGGCTCGTTGTGTCACCGTTGCTTTCTCATTAGGCACTGATAGTGGCCGCGTTGTGCCACACACCTTATTTGACAAAGATGCAATTGTTACCTTATTTTAGAATTAGGTGTTTTTTCTGACTTGTTCACATAAACCCACTAACTTGCGCTCTCATGCATAATCCTTTCCCATGGATACTGATGTCTATTTAAAACAGTTAATTATATTCAGAATAATTATTCTTGCATGTTGAGATTAGCATGACAAACGGAAATGGATAAAGTCAGCATTTTTTGTTTTTTAAAATCACCTTCTTGCCTCTTAAATGTCCAGGTTGCATACCATGCTAACGAACAAGGCCACATTCACTCATGCCCTCTTGCTGCACATCTCCACTAATATTGCTGCAGCCCATAATTCGACTTTAATTAATTCCCAGCCACATGTAAATTCCTGCAGTTGTCGATGAAAGACACGGTGTGTTCCTCTCAAGGCGGGCTGACGGCAAAGCGAGCAGCTTTGCTACATTGCTCAGAGTACAGAGGAATGCCAATAATTCTGAAAGGCTTACAGTTCGCTGGCAGTATCCATGGCGATTCTTCACATACAATGGTAGCCTTTCTAGTGAGGTGAGGGGGGAGGGGTTGGGTTTGGTGTGATTTTGGGAAAGAGCTACTTGCACTTTCCACTGTTTTGGTGACTATGGGATTAAGTTTTTCTCATAGGAGTCATTCCAAGTAAGTGATGGAGTCAGATGTGATTTAGGCCCACTGTATAAAACGTGAACTCGGTCTTTACGTATACAGTAACATACGTATACATACCCTTCAGATGCATCTGAATACTCACACAGGCAGAGTAGGTGTAATCTGAGAGTATAGCATCACTGCAGCTTTTCTCCATCATAAATAACTGGTAGGGTAAAAGATTTTGTTGATAGTTCATCCCTGTTTAGTGCATGAAGTCTAGTCCTGCGGGACTAGGGGAGGATGGCATGAGTACTTGTGCAGCTTTAAACAAAACCAGGCTCCATTGGAAGACATTTTTTGTTGCGTAGGGAGAACTGGGTGTTCCTAATTTCCCTCATGATCCAATGATTGCTATCAACAACGCACAAGCACATATCAGAATCCCTTCCACTATCAATGGCTCGACTGTGGTGAGCACAGAGGCAAATGCTGCACGAATTACCCTCAGGATAACCTTTTGTTGATTCATTTGGTTTCTGTTCCAGATGAATGCCTTTCTGGGTCAGACTGAGACCATCCAGCCTGATATCTTGTGGTTTAAGTTTAAATACACGATCTCAACCACACTGACATGATGTTTACCTTTTATAGTGCTGTGACATTTTTTTACCCTGGTTTTGCTCTTTTTTTCTCATATGTTTCAGGTCAGAAAAACACATTTCAGTGAGATAACCCGAGAGTCCTTTGTTAAATTAACTGATTACTCACATTATTTGGAAAGCTGGGTTCATTTTCATCAGCCACACCGATACGTAATTACTCCCAGATCTGTATCCTAACGTGTCTGACGACGTGAAAGAGGCTGAATGATCTGATGAAGCAACTCACCGTGTTCTGAATAAAATATAGAAGCTCGATGGGAGGAAGGTATAGCCTCGGCTCACCAGAAAGACCTTGAAGGTCTGAATCACTTTTGTCAGAAAACCTCTGAATGATCTCTTAGAAATTTTAAAACTAGTCTATGTGGAGACTGCGTGGTTTGGCGCTTTGGAAGCAGCGTAGCTAGCTAGGAGAGGTGAGATCAGGTCCCTACTGATCTAAGATAAGGTCACATGTGGACTTTTGGCTAGCTCGTGCTACAAGGTCAGAGACGGAGGCAGACTAGCTGGTGGCAGCCGTCTACAACGAGGTAACAAATGGCAGTGAGAAATGAACTCTGCCTTCCAGACTGTGCCAACAGTCAAACACGGCGGTGGAAGTGTGGTGTTCTGGCTGCTTTGCTGCCTCAGGACCTAGACCATTTGACAGAACCATGAATTATGCCTTCTAGCAGAATATGAATGTGTGACCTTTAACCTTAAGCAGGCCATTCATGTTGACAAACCTTCCAATGCTGCTGAATGTATACAGGAATGGGCCAAAATTCATCCACAGTGATGTGAGAGACATACAAACACTTGACTGCAGCTGTTGACACTGAGAGGGTTTGAACCGGTTGGGGTTAAAGGTCAATAACTTTTTCACACAAGGCCATGTCTGTTTAGATTTCTTCATTAGCGTCATGACACATACACTGTTTGGAGCTTTTTACCATGTGATCTGGTCATTTCCTCATGAGGTATACCCTCCAACACTTGTGGCTGCATTCATGCGTTTTCCTGTCTTAGCTGCAGAAGGTAGCCCGCTCGAGTCACCAGGCATTCCTCCCCCTGAAGCTGGTGGTCTCGGTTCTGAAACCTGGGTTTTCTGTGGACATTCTGATTAATTACTTCTGCATTGCAGACAAAACACAGCTATATAATCCATGCGACCTGTCTACAAAGATGCACATAATGGGCCAGCACAGGAATGATGGTTCTGCAACAAACTCGGTAGTCCAGTAGTTCATTTTGTCGTAGCGAGTGTGGGCGGAGCTTCACTGAAACGAACGTTTCAAAAAGGTCTCATATTTAGATAAATGATAGTGCCAACGGTAATACTTTTCATATACTGTGCCTACCTTTGCTCTCAGAGGTTTAAAATAGTGTGACATGGCTCCTTTAATCATCATTTTGCATTTCTTCTTTGTCAGTGTGACAAATAAAACACTGTAAGGGGAAAATATGTTTTTTATATACTTTACTCACATTATTACAGGATTTTCAATCCAAAGTGTGCACTTAAGCTGGCTCGGCGTTTACTTTTACCCACTGTACGTAAATCTTGAAGTAAACTTTTTGGTGTCTGCACTGACACCTCATTACTGCCAGGTGTTTTTCCTGCTGAGACCTCCTGTGTAGGGCCTTAACACCTGGCGTAAGAGCAACTAACCTCCTGCCTGTTAGTCAGCTTCATTAGTGGAGCTCGAGTCCTAATTACCCAGAGTTCATCCAGCAGAAGTGCTGTGGAGCAGCGTGGACTTTAGAGTAAACATCGTTATGTTCTTCAGCTTCATGCTGTTAGTAAAATTTTAGTTTCTGTGCAAAATGAGGTGGAAAAAGCCAAATGTCATGAAAATATAAACAAGAAATTTTGACGAATTGACTAGAGATGAAATTATACTACTGATAAAAATAGCAAATATCCAATAATTACATGATTTCTAGAAATAGGAGAACTGCAGTAATTATGAATATGACAGCTGATGCGGTCTCCTGTCAGGAAACCAACGTCTTTATAAGTTTCCAAAGAGCCATAATCAGCAGCACACCAGGCCTACGCTCAAGCTGAGGAAATGACCATGCTGCATGGAATTATAGTCATTCAGAGACGGACGCAGCTGGATACGTTTGGGAATGTGGGCTAATTGCTGAGCCTGTGTCCTTTCACAGACCACAGGTTAATAGGTGGTGTGTGTTTTCAAATCGCTGTAACAAATTCATGGTCTTAGATTATTTGCCCAATTGAATAGAGAGGTTGTTTTACTTTTCCACTAAAACGTGAGGCAGGGGTTCTTTTTTTAAAGGACTGATAACAAGTGATGTTGTCTTTTTATTAGATCTTGGTAAACTCTGTCTCCTCTGATTAAACAGGATTTTTCTCTTCAACTTGTTCTTTTCAATTCAATTCAATTCAAGTTTATTTATATAGCGCCAAATCACGACAAGAGTCGTCTCAAGGCACTTCACATAATAAACATTCCAATTCAGGTCAGTTCATTAAGCCAATCAGAAATAATGTTTCCTATATAAGGAACCCAGCAAATTGCATCAAGTCACTGATTAGTCTTAAGCCTAGTCTTAAAAGTAGACAAGGTGTCTGCCTCACGGACTAAAGCTGGGAGCTGGTTCCCCAGGAGAGGAGCCTGATAACTAAAAGATCTGCATCCCATCCTAATTTTAGATATTCTGGGAACCACCAGTAAACCTGCAGTCTGAGAGCGAAGTGCTCGGTTAGGAACGTATGGAACAATCAGATCACTGATGTATGATGGACCTTGATTATTAAGAGCTTCATATGTGAGAAGGAGGATCTTAAAATCTATTCTGAATTTAACAGGTAGCCAATGTAGAGAAGCTCTCTTTTTAATTCTCATCAGAACTCTAGCTGCAGCATTTTGGACAAGCTGAAGACTTTTAACTACATTCTGTGGACTTCCTGAGAGTAATGGATTACAGTAATCCAGTCTTGATGTAATAAATGCATGAACTAGTTTTTCAGCATCACTCCTGGAAAGGATGCTTCTAATCTTAGCAATATTCCGAAGGTGGAAAGAGGAAATCCTACAAACCTGTTTAACCTGGGATTTGAATGACATGTCCTGGTCAAAGATAACACCAAGGGTCCTTACTTTGTTCTTGGAGATTAATGTAATGCCATTCAGGTCAGGTGATTGGCTAAGCAATTTCCTTTTCTGGATTTCTGGTCCAAAGATGAGAACTTCTGTCTTGTCTTGATTTAAAAGCAAAAAGTTTAGAGTCATCCAATTTTTTATGTCCTCAAGACAAGCCTGTAATCTACCCAACCGATTAGGTTCATCAGGGTTAATGGATAAATATAACTGAGTATCGTCAGCATAACAGTGGAAGTTTATCCCATGCTGTCTGATGATTTTACCAATTGGGAGCAT